TAACAACGTCTTTGGCATTATTTTACCTGCTGCGATGCCTTAAGCATCAGATAAAATGCAGTTTCCTGGAATCAGTGCTATTATGCTTAATCTTTTGACCAGAGGTACAGCCAACTAATCAGCTAATCAGCAGGATTAGGCAGATGATTTATGTTATGGATTTTGTTCTAGTGTCTAAGATGAAAAACTCTATTTCAAGTGTTTTCTAAGAAATGGAGCAAAGTTGGGGCAGCTCTGCCATATGTAAGCCTGAAAAAAAATTCTGGAGCAATAGTTGCCACAATCAACTGCTTTGCAATGAAGCACTGATTTCTAATCAGTGTAATTCAACGTATGCTGTAGAAGTTCTTTAAAACTGTAATTCTCAGAGCATCCCAGGAAATGTGTCAGGACTATAATAGAAACAAATGTGATTTAGGTTGCATTAAAAGAACCACCATCCCCAGGTCACAGGAAGTAATTGTCCTGTGCTGGAAGATTGTCTCCAGTTCTACATGTCATATTTTAAGGAGGACACAATAAGCTACAGCATATTAAGAAACGAAAAACTGGGACAATGAGAGATTTTACGTAGCAGGAGTTTAATGATGTAAATGATCATCGCCTTCCAACATCTGAAGGATCGGCCTTACCACAGAGATTTGTTCACTGTTGCTTCATATGACATTAATAGCCATTTGAGGAAACATTTTGGCAAAATATTAAGTTTTAAATGGTACAATGGTTCAACAGTGAAATCAACCAGTTGTGGTGGAGCTCTGAAGATTTCACACGGAGCATGAAGCTGGATTGGGTGATATTCTACAAGCCCATGAAATTAGCAAGGACCACAGCAAAATCAAAGGGAAATAATGATCTGTTATTGTGCAAATCAATCAAGATCTTATTCAAATTTGTGTTTGTGTTTGATTTGAATTGTCAATTTGATTTACATTTGTAATTCAATTTAAAAAGTTGAGCATAGTCAGTTTTAATCATTGATTTGAATGATCAAATAATAACTTGATCAAATCACCTTTGAATTAAATTGTCAAATTGATTCAAAATGTAAAATTCTACTCTCTGTAGTTTTTTAATAAAATAAAATAGGCCAATACATTTCTAACATCATTGTTCATTTTCAGGAATATTACTATTTTTATTTTGCAACTCTTCCAAGGGAAAACTAAGTTCCTTTCTTTCTCCACAATTGCTTTCTGACAGCTGTACCACAGCCACAGAACCATGCCAGGTGGTTGAGGAATATGAATTTGATGAATGACTTTATAAGCCATTTCTTCCATATACTAATCCCAGTCTGCTCTATAATTTTAAAAAAATGAAATCAAACTCAAAACTCATGCTCCGTGTGAAATTGTAGAAAGAACTACCAGGAAGCTTGTGAAATTAAGAGAATACAGCAGAACCCATGAAAACACTTCATACTGGGATGCTTGAGTATGTAAAATAAGTATTTGTTAGGTACAGGAAGTCCATTGAGAAGGATACCAGATGGGTATTTTAGGGAGAGGACATGCCATAGTTTGAATGCCAGAAGCACGAAATCCCTCTCACCATCGAGCTAACATTGGCTGCAGTTGAAATAGATGGAAGCAGAGGCTCCTTAGAATGCTCAGCAGTTAGACAGACATTTGCAAGATTTGATGTTTCCAAGTTTGGGATATCAGTCCTGATTTTTTTCCTCAATTATATTAAGGGAAGTGCACGTAAATGACAGCTTTTTCCCCATGGCTAATCCTGAACCTTTGCTGAATTCCTGGGGGGAAAATGGACATTCTAGAGGATGGCTCCTCTAGGAGCACGGCTGACCTGTCACTAACTTGGAGGAAAATTCCAGGGGAGAAGACATTAAAGAGATTAAAGATGTGTCAGTGGTTGTTGGTCAGGCAGGACCCTATGGCAAAGACTCAGATAACATTCATATTGATACTGATATCAGTACTTTGATACTGATTGAAATGGAGGCATCTTCTCTCCAGAGGCTCATTTGTTGAAGCAGGGAGAAGAATGACTTGTCTCATAGAGTTCCACTAATGAAAGCATTTCCATCAATGGAATAAAAGTCTAAGACTCTACACATTGTTTCTTGATATTTTATTTACCGTATTTGAACATTAACCATGAGCTGCCTTAGAAGGAGATGAATTCACAGAGGTGGGATATAAATAAAACAGACAATAACAGGAACCTTGATGACTCTGAATCTAAGCTATCATTGTCTCTTAAAATGATGCAGAATGTAAAAAAAAAATCCAAAGAAGTGTTCCCAATTGGATGTAAGATTATGAACATTTCACTAATTCTAAATTTCAAGTCATTTCAGAACGTTATCATCTCTGTGAAAGAATGTGGCTTGAAAGATGTTTTTCCCCATGGTTTATTTAATAAAAAATTATATTGTTATTCTCATATTTTAGATACTATTCCATACCTGTTGAAAATGCAGTTATATGCATTTCTGCTCAGAAGTAATTTCATTCAAGCCAATAAAAAGGCACAGAAGATCTCAGGAATGAGATTGAAAGGAATGTCCACTACAAATTTACACTGTCGCTTACTTTGAAGCAAGTATTTCTATGCCTAAATTATAAATGTTTAGGGCATCATCAAACAATCTTTTTTTTTTTTCTCTGACTACTACAGCAGATCTAAAAAAAACCCACCACATGATAATCAGCAGAGTATGAAACACATAAAACTCTAGATGCTGAAAACAAAGCAGCAGTATCACAACCTTTAGCTCTCTTCATGCATAAACATACTTAGTCGGGTGGGAGTTAACACTGGGGAGTTCTGAGTGCACAGTCTAGAAAATGCTGGGTTCAAATCCTTGCTTGAACATGACTCTCACTGGCAATCTTAGACAATCATTTTGGCTATGTTTGCATAACCCACTGAAATCTAAACCTACCATATTGTGCAAATCCAGCCTGTGTTATTAGTTTAGTTTTCATTATACTGTATGATTAAATAAAATGGATTAAATCCAATGCAGCCAAGTTTAGGTAGCCATGGACAAACATCTTGTGGCATCTCTCTGTATCATCATGCAATGTTGCCATAAGAATTAAAGGAAGGGGAAAGAAAATCTTATATAATATCCTGATCTTATTCACAGAAAGGTAGAATACCTTTTGTACACTAGTGCTGTACAAAAGGATTCTTCATGCATTTCAAGGGAAATGGCAATTGCCTGCATGCAGTGTCCTTCTCCTGCTTGAAACAAATTGACAAAAACATAATAAGTAGGAAACCCTATGCTAGCCTACTCAGGTTTCACCCTAACCTGGATATTGCCTTCAACAGTAAGTCAAAAAGAACCAAAATATTTCATGTGAATCTACTTAGAGTAGAATCACTTTTATCTTTGGAATTTAACTTTTGGGCAAATACTAGAGTTTTTTCCAGATGCAACCCAGTTTGCTCTTCCATGGTCTAAAGTAGTCTTATATTTGTCGATCATTTATTTATTTATTTGTCACATTTATATAGCCGCCCATCTCACACAAAGCGACTCTGATCATACCAGCAGTTCAGGATCAAGATTTCTTAGTTGTGATCTCATCCTTTCCAGAAGAATTTTTAAAAAGCCAGGAGAAGTAGCTGCAATTGTTCTGAGATATGATATACATCCCTGTGATGTATGATACAGCTATCATAGCACAGTAGCAAGGCTGAAGTGTAACTACTTTGAAAAACCATTTGGTCCAAAAATGGTCACAGGAGACTAAACTAAATGGCACATATTGGTATAAACATAGTGGCATTTGCCATCAAATACATTAGATTATATAATACAAGCATAATAGCTTTCAGAAGTGTTTTCTTTATTATTTCAAATATCAAATATATTCAGAGTATCTACTGGTATCTGGACTGGATTTATAGGAAAATTCTTAAGTTGGTCCTGATGTTTGGCTGAACTGATGATCGCTCCCCAGGATGCAATATGGCATGCAGCTATGCTGCATAGAGACACAATTCTATATGTGTCTACATAGAAGTAAATCCTATTAAGTTCCTAAGACTGGATTTTAAGCCTTTTCCAATGGGACTCTAAGCAATTTAGAGAGCCAGTTTGGTCTAATTATTAAGGTGCTGATCCAGGAGCAGGGAAACTTGAATTCTAGTTCTGCTTTATGCACAAAAGCCAGCTGGGTGACCTTGGGCCAATCACTCCCTCTGAGCCCAAGGAAGAAGGCAATGGCAAATAATTGCCAGGAGTTAAGTTTGACTGGAAGGAGGGAGGGAGGAAGGAAGGAAGGAAGGAAAACAACAGAACCATGTTAAAAATCACAGCCGTGAAGTTTTTGCAAAAGAGAACATCTTCATAATTTGGACTGAAATCTTACAAATGGTTGCTAGAGACTAAGATCCATTAGGATAAGTGGTATGTACAGCTCAATACATATCAATAGGACCGTGCTACTGAGTGGCTGATATTTTTTTTAAACAAAACAGTTGCATTTAATTTCCAAATCAAACATTCTATTAAGGCTACATTCTTCAGCATATTTCCTAGAAGTAAGTCTGTTTGAAAATTTGCAGTTTAAAATTGCAAGGGAATGTCATGAAGAGGTATTACATTTCTGGCCCACAACAAAATTAGCTAAACTGAGTATGAACTAATGCATCTGAGCAATTAGAAGGCTTTAAAAATAGAAATTCATTTCCAGGGATTTTTCACAAGCATCAAAATCCCAACTCATAGTCTGAGAGAAAGTTGATGATGTCTGGGGAGGTAGAAGGTTGCTGCTGTTTTCATTCCAAGCTTCTATCAGAAGTTGCCAAAGTTTACTACAACTTTCATGAAAATGTCCATCTCCAAACTCTGCTGGCGCACACACACACACTCACACAAACAAGCAGATAGAGCACGTTAAACTTCAGATTCCTGCTCCTGAAAACCTCGTTTGCTTTCACATTTGAAATCCAGGAAGAGTTGCAAAAGGTTCTGTTCAAAATAACTTCACATCCAGAGGAACGAGAACACCACTTACCTAAAGATAGGTCTCTGGAGATGCTTTTTCCTAATTGCAACATAATCATCCATTTAAGTGTGGGGGAGGAACAGCCTCTTCCTGAAAAGAGTTCCTGAGAAAACCTGGGAGCAATCAGGAAACTTGTTCTTAGCTACTGTGCTGAAGAGACCACACCAAGGTTTTTTTCTGGTGCTGGGGAAAACCTCCCTCCGTGTGACAGTCCGGCAAAATGAGGCCATAGAGACCACATAGAGTCTAAGCAGCACCAAAACATGCAGGCTGTTACACAGAGACTGGAGGCAAGTTGAGCGAAGCAGAGAAGAGCCTCCTGGAAGGGTTTCGGCTGCCTGAGGAAAATGCAAAACTTTTACCAACTGTTAACCAAGTTTAAAAAAAACAGACCCGTGCTAGATTATTCCAGGCATGAGAACTCTTCTTAGACGCACCAGTCAAAGTCTTCAACTAGGAGGCTGACTTGCTTTGTGAAACAAGACCAGTCCATTGGGAGGCTTCCCTTTCTTTCTTTCTTTTTTTTTTTATCCTCCCCTTTCTTCAAAATAAAAGTTGTCCAGCTGTTTCAGAGCAAACCCCTGCAAGTGTTTTCTAAATGTTTCTGTGCTGTTGTAAGGCACTGTATACAAATTAACAGAGACGGATGGCTCTGATCTCCCTTCCTGGCTTCGCTTCAAGACATTGTTGCAATTATTTTACAGTCTGGCTATTATTCACTTTGGCTGATGGGTGACTATAACTATGCACATTAAACCACCACTCATAATTTTTGGCACCCACACAGCCTCATAGCCAACAGTTGGCTGAAGCACAATCTGATGTTTGCAGCTGGTGGGACCTTAACTACGCTGCATGGAGCCATTATCCTTGAGTTAGAAAAATAAAAATGGAGTGGGGTCCTTTGTTGGCAAAGTCAAATCACTCAGCCTGGCCAGGGGGCAAAACACAGATCATGCGAGACTGCTAACGATTATTCCAGAATATTCACTTTCATGCAATTTTCTATAGCAGGGGTTACAAAGTTATGGTTCTTCAAATACAGGTAGTCTTCGTTTAGTGCCTGCCTCATTTAGTGACCATTCGCAGTTATAATGGTGATGAAAAAGTAACTTTGTGACCAATCCTCGCACTTACAACCTTTGTAGGTCTGTAAAGCAAAGGCAAGCTGAAGGAAGATCATATGCACAGTTGTGGTTTCACTTAGCGACTGCCATGCTTAATGACTGAGTTGCCAGTCCCATTGTGGTGACTAAATGAGGACAACCTGTATTGAAGACTTACAGTTTCCAGAATACTGCCTATCACTGGTCTCATAGTCCTATGTAACAGAGGGGGATCCATAGACTTGGGACTGGGCCCACTAGAGGCTTTATATGGCTTCTTTAACAGCTACAGCCATATAAAGAAAACTAGCATATCACAGAGAAGAGCTTCGTGTACCTCTCTCCCTGATCTGCTAGTTTACTATTTCTGTGTGTATCTATATAAGGACCATTGACAGGTATAAACTCCTGTCATGTTGTACAAGGTGTAGATTGTTTGTTCTCAGGCTCCAATCCTATGAATTGGGGGGGGGGAGAGAGACTGCAAAAAGAAAAGAAGTGTATTGTATATGTTTTACCCACATTTTTAAAAATATATTTATTTAAAACAAAGATTCGCTCACATTAACTGCGGTGTCTGCTGTTATTTTGGCCATGCTTCAGGCTATCTCCCAGAGAGTAAAACTGAAGTACGAAGAAAGTCTTAAATTACCTGTCTTAAAAATCAGTGAAACTGTGACTGCAAATCCAAAGGGACTGGAAAGCTTTCCTAGAGAGTAGCATTGTGGTCTCCCTAGTGAAACTTGATATTTATGATAGGTGACCTGTTATATGAACCCAGCAAACATATCCGTGAGATACAGTAAACAACAGCTGAAAAACCTGAGCACATAGCAAGTCACACTTTGATTGTGGAATGGTAATTTAATACTTCCCTCATCTAGGGCTCTGAAAGTTCAAGACTTCTGCCATGACTCCTGTGGAAATGAGAAACAGCAACTTTTCTTAAAGGTTTCTGTAAGTTGCCCTGAAATCATATTTGGGAAACATTTTAATAACCATCCACCACCGCAAACACCCGCACTCCATTTCTCACGCTACTATACATGGTGAGGTGAGGGAGGCTGAAGGCAAAAAACACATTTTTTTAATCATGGTGCCCATACTCCGGAACAGCCTCCTGCTAGAAGCTAGGCTGGCCACCTCAGTGATGGCTTCTGGAAATTGTGAAAATTGAACTGTTCTGGAGGTAGTGCACCATCTGGAACTACACGTACTAATTAGTTATTTATTACTGTGTATTATAGTTGTTAGAGAGCCAGTTTTGTATAAAGGTTAAGGCACTGGGCTAGAAACTAGGAGGCTGTGAATTGTAGTCCCACCTGAGGCATGAAGCCAGCTGGGTGACCTTGGGCCAGTCACTCTCTCTCTCTCAGCCCTAGGAAACAGGGAATGGCAAACCATATCCAAAATCTTGCCAAGGAAACTGCAGGGACTTGTCCAGGCAGTCACCAGGAGTCAACACTGACTCCAAGGCATCTCATATTCTCTCTCTCTCTCCCCCTCCCTCCCTCTCTCCCTCCCTCTCTCTCTCATAGACTTGGTAGCATCAATATTACTATAAATAATAACAACCACCATAGGCCTTCACAAGAAACAAAACAAAGACCCAACCAATTCTGGCTACTCTTGGTTCTGATGGGCTTTTGAAACCTGAACTTAGAATGGAAAGGCTCATTTCAGAGTCATTGGTTTAACCATACAATTGGCCACCTGTTTAGGTCTGTCAGATCTTCTGAAGAGCAGACTTGGAGAAACTTCATTCCTTCTCCATTTGAACTTTCTCCAAATCTCTCTACATAGCCTCTCACTGTAGGGGTACACAGAAGATAATCCCCAGGGATGTAACCACTACTCAACAATCTCACACTGGCCCTATAATATTTTTGCCTGGCCTTCAGCAGATAGACTACTAGAACTATTTACAACAGCTGCTCTTGGCTTATATATAGTTGAGTACCAGCTTGTCCAGGTAGTCTCTGAGACTTGGACACAATTGAACAGATTAAAAAAAAACAACAACTTAGCAAGCTGAGTATAACTTCTAACTCAGAGTGATACTGATTACCTTCAAAGCCCTAAACTACTACAGATCTCAATTTGTGAAGAAGCATCTCTTCTGATATCAGCCTGCCTTTGTTTTGTGATCTTTTGCTGAAGCTCTTCTCCAGATGCCTTCCTTATGAGAAATATGATGTGTAGGAACAATAGGGGGGGACCTTCTTGGTGATAACCTCCTTCCCTATTAAGGTGTTAGACATTTTTATTTTAGCACCAATTTATAATTAGAACTTGAGAAATGTCTTTTTATTGTTGCAGCATCTTATCAAACTTGTCTAATTTCAGAGGTGAGACCTGGTTAGTATTTGGATGGAAGACCACCAGCAATGCAGCTGTAAGCCTGGAAGAAAGCAACAGCAATTTGTTATTGCCAAGAATACAACATGGATGTCTCTGGTCCAAGAGTTGAGCCTGATTCAAAGGAGACTCCATCTTTTACTTTTTTAGTGTTAATATTATGGTTTTACCATAAATGTCTATTTTCTTGCCTTCTCTAATTCCAGCAGAAACAAGAGGAACACAAATCAGTGAAAAAAATGACCATATATAGCCACTTTTCAGATATTGCAGATCATATTAATCAGTTCCTAATGGTTCTCTGTTCCCCCAAGAAAGTGGCATGGTGTAAGAGTCTGAACTAAAATCAGCCATGCTCATAGAAACAGATATCCTATATATATGTATACAGATACAAACAACCTTTCCCAGATATATCTCCTCCACTGCCCTGTAATTCCTTAATACTGTTATTAAAGGGACACAGAAATATTCTTTAATTAATGTATTTGCATTAAAAAAAGGTTCTGCCAATATGAAATATGGCTTTTTAGACTGAATGTCTTATTGAACTGATTCTCTAGATAAAGCCATGGAATTTGGCAGCCATGGTCTTCTCTAGGAGTCAGTGAATTGCCCAAAATTCAGACCAATCAAGGAAGAATTACTGAAAACTGATACATGTATTATGTGGCTCCAATGTTTGACCAAGCAGAGCATATATTTCTGGTGAATTGTGGGAAAATTGTTTATGTTGGGCTTTTTGAGGAAGGCAATCCTTCATTGGTTTGGTGAGGGTTTTGAGTAGTGATTCCAAAATTCCTGCCTCATGAAAGCTTAAAGCAACAACTGCTGGCAAAGCATGAGATGCAGGCTTAATTTTGCTTTGGAGTTAGAACACTGGCAGTAAATCAAGGCTTGGAGAGGGTGCCACCTAGCGAGTTCAACATGGAATGCTCCGCCATTTGTTACTTCTTTGGGGTGGGGGCATGGAATGCACAGTGGAGAAAGCAGAGAAGACGCGGGCTTCGGACTACCTTTCCAAAAGCCAAAATGTAGCACAATGTTTTTCAACCTCGGCAATTCTAAGATGTGTGGACTTCAGCTCCCAGAATTCCCCAGCCAGCATGGTGACTGGGGAACTCTGGGAGTTGAAGTCTACACACTCATGTAGCAAATTCAGTCTTTATTCTTCCTTCTTTATTCTCCTATGGTGAATAGAAATGTGTGGGCTGGGACCCTTGTTCTGCTCTTCTAAAAGCTGTGATACGGTTCACAACCCTTGCTGTTCATTTCTTGGGTTTGACATGAAATATGTACAGGTTTCAGAATCTTTCTCTGACACTGGATGTGCAGAAGTTAAAGCCTTGCCCTGAACTGTTACAAAACCTGCAACAACAAAAGTCCTTTCACTCTTTTTCTGTACAAAAGGAAAAGAAAAAGGGTGGGGATGAGGGAGAAATGGAAAACTAGCAGACTTCAGCTGATACCACCTGAAAATCAGTGAAAGTGGCATGTAACCTGCACACCTTTGCACAGCTTATCACTTTCACCTCTGGGTGTTTTGTCTGGACACTGAGTGGGAGCTGCAAAGCCATCCAGCTAGCATTTCCCTTACGAGTCCTGAAACTTAGGAACCTTGAATCCTGGAACCTAGCCTCACAAAGGTTTAAGCTATATAACAGCTGAACTAGAAACAAATCATCTCAGTTCTTCAACACTGCTGACTGCAGGGGTACCAAACAGCTTTCAAGCTGGCACAGAATCCTCGTGTGGAAGTGCACAATATCATATGTGTGAGTTTGGCATAACTCCTTGTTCTTCTCCATTTTCTTCCCTAACATCTGAGTACAACCTATTACTGCAAGAAGCAGTAAAGGCCATCAGCTTTAAAACAAAGTTCTCCCACTCTGAGATTGTTTTTAATTATGAGAAAATGGCACAGAAATTTTAATCAGTCGGTCAAATGAGCAAATTCATGAAGCACATAATTGGTAGCAGGCACAAGCGCTATTTATCACATGTATCCCCATGTTATATGATTTTTGAGTGCCCTACTTTCTCTTCATTCATGGTTCATTGTAAAT